TGTTCAGATATATGCATATGCTTCTTAGCTTTCAAGAGTCTTTCCACATGTGTTGAAAGCTTTTGATATGTATGAGTGACTTGTTTTGTTAGGACCCGACCGTATACATTGGTATACGGTTGGGTCCGGCTTTTGATATGTATGAGTGACTTGCTTTGTTCGAACCCGACTGTATACATTGGTACAAGGTCACTTGGACACTCCCAATAAACATTGAAAACCTTACTTGATTGGCTTTGTTTTTGGCAGTCCAGGCCAGTTAGGTCACCTGGCAACAATTACACACGCGAATTAGAATTTGGCAACGAGTAAAAAAAACTTAGCTACTAGGGGAAGTGAGCAGCGTGAACCAGCAGCCTCCCACAGGCAACAAAAAAAATGCATCTGTTTATTGATAATGATAGTACTACCAGAGCCATTTCTCCTCGCAGTATTGCAGTTTAGTACGCCGCCCCTACCTATTTGCACGTTATTTTGATACAACAGCCTAAAGGTACAGTTTCCGTTCTTTAATCTGGTAGGTGTTCTGTGACTGCCCCCTTCTAGTACACTGTATATAGTAGCTTCTCACGAGGTCCCCTTTGTGTTCGGTAAAACCCCATGATCTTGGGAAACACGGAGGAAAGAAAGATAGGAGAGGGCATGCCCAGCTGGCGTTAACCACCCTACTGGCATGCTACGTGACAAGTGTGGAGGAAATGACATTACGGCGGCCATATTTACTGAGCACAATGGTGGCGTTGCTATGGCGTTGCTATGCAGTGTAACTGGTCTAGCAGCCAGCGGCCGCGGCTGGCGGCGGCATGTGTGCCTCCACAGGTCTCGTGCTGAGCCGTGGCGGCCAATATCCGTGCTCTACGCCGCGTTATTGGTTACACAGTGTTCTCTTGACAGTTACTGTACTTTTAGCAACGTTTACAAAACCTTTCTTTCACCACGGGGGCTGAACAGTGCGTAGAACGAACGCATATCCGTGTGTCGTGCGGCGGATGACGCGGATGAAGCACTTGAAGTGTTCAGGGAAATTACGTTGGGGACCATGATGAAGCGGAAGAACGACGAATGTCTTGCAGGCCAGTGACGGTTGGGCAGTGCTCCTCTTTGTGGCAACGTACGAAACTGTTGTGCCCAGCAAGACGCAAACGAGGACCATATGCACATACGTAGTTTTGTGTTCGGTATGTGTACAGTAACAACTTGCATGTGCGTAACAAAACACCTTTTTTGTTGCGCTTGTTATACTCGTCCCCAGCATTGTAATGTCAACGTTAGAACAACCGCGTTCAAGTGTCACTTGCACCGTGCTAAAAGTCACCACGGTTGCCGAATGCTGACGCCGATGAGTTTCACACAAACACGGGCACAGTGGCATTGCGCGACGTCCGCCGCGTGGTTGAATGCAATCGTAGAAGGGGCACGACCGATCATTGTCTGTACAATTGCTGAATTAATGACGTGAAAACACTCGCCGTTGTCAGTGCATCCAGCGCGCGTTCTCTTGTACTTGCTTCGTTGTCGGTGAGCTGTTACTCGCTGTTAATACTCGGACGAAATGATTTCGCGAAGGTGTCACGCTGGCCCAGAGGGGCCCCGTTACATTGGTTTCGGAACGTCACGACAGGCGCGCTGCGCAGCCCACGTGCTTTCAGAGCCAGACAGACAGTCGCGCCTTCTGCTTTACAATCGGATGTAAACAAGAGATGAGTTTGCCCAGTCAATATGGCCGACTTCTGGCTTTACCACGGCTTCGCAACGAGTGACGTCAGGGCCTCTCCTAAGTTTTTTTTTCCTTCCTCCAAGGTACTCACCGATGCGCACTCGACCTCCTCTCTCCCTCCTTGCCTCCTCGCGTCCTTCCGGTCACCGACACTTTTACACTTTTTCTACGGACTTTTTCTGCATGATGATTGGTGTCCTTCGCGATTGCCCTTAGAGACGCGTGAATATTGCGCATTACTGTGTTTTTCTTTTTCGCTCGCGCCATTTTTCGCCAATGCTCCGCGTAACAAATGTAGCGCGCGCTTTGTTTTCTGTGCTTTGTGCGGATGCTATGCCGCGCTGTTGCGCCGATGACTGCAACAACCACAGTGAAAATGGTGCGCACTTTTTATGATACCCTAAGGTAAACGTGATGGCTTGCGCAAACAGCATTGGCTGCACAGCATCGGCCAAAAAAAAAAAAAAACTTCGTTCCAAGAAAGAACAGTGTTCTTTGCGAGGTACGGCGCCTTTCTTATTGCTCCTATCAAAACATCGCCGAATGCTGTATTTGAAATGTTATTTAGGCCTGCTCATCAACATACGTGTTATTTAGGGGTGAAGCTTCTTAAGCCGTGCGTTCCTTCAAACTAGAGTTGTCATGAACATGCTGAATTCCTTTGAGAGAAACAAGAAGAAAGTTCAATCATTTAAAATTTTTGTACAAAATTATGCCAGGGAAAGTTGACTTATATGTACCTTGTTGTGTTCAGCCAGCCACTGCTAGGAGTACCGCCGTAAACATGATTGATCCTTGGCACCCATATTTGCAGGAACTATGCTTACAAATGCAGTTATTTTTTCAGAACTATTGATGACCGGAATTGGCCGCTTCATGAGGTTTTTTCGATGGACAATTTTGATATATCGCTAGAAAGTTATGTACTTGGTGATTATAGAGTGGCCCCGCCGCGGTGGTCTAGTGGCTAAGGTACTCGGCTGCTGATCCGCAGGGCGCGGGTTCGAATCCCGGCTGCGGCGGCTGCATTTCCGATGGAGGCGGAAATGTTGTAGGCCCGTGTGCTCAGATTTGGGTGCACGTTAAAGAACCTCCGGTGGTCTAAATTTCCGGAGCCCTCCACTACGGCGTCTCTCATAATCATATAGTGGTTTTGGGACGTTAAACCCCACATATCAATTAATGATTATAGAGTGTTCAAATGTGTTATAAATTTTGTTTATGTTTCCCAGACATGTGACCTCCGTTAGCGTACAGATACATGCTTGTTTTTTTTTTTTTGCTGTCACGAATCACTTGATGTTTCTTGTGCCCCTCCTGCCGGGACCTAAATTCTGGTCTGTAGTATGTATAAATAAATAAATAAATAAAAAATAAATAAAAATATTCAGCTCGTACTCCATCACCTCGCACGCACCTCGGCAATCATCGAAAATGCACAACTGTAGTCTGCTTTCTCTGCGAACTTTTTCATCTAACCTAACCTGGAAACGTCAGATTGAACACGTGTCCTTTTCTGCTTCCCGCATGCTCAACTTTCTAAAACGCAACTTCAGTGATGCTCCTCCAAAAGTTAAACAACTTTTATATTTCACCAACGTAAGATCCATTATGGAGTACGCCTGCGCCGTGTAGGACCCACAATTTGAAAATTTATGTACACTGCTAGAACGCATCCAGAACCGCGCCGCCCGATTTGTAACTAAAAATTATAGTTTTCGCACTAGCATTACATTACTTAAATCAGAGTTGGGCTGGGAAACACTAAGTAAACGTCGGTTGCATCACAAACTTGAACTACTATATCGTATTTATTTCAATAAGTTTGGTCTTGATCCTAAAATTTTCTTACTAACCCCGCACTTTGTATCTAAGCGACGCGACCATGAATGGAAAATTCGTGAAATTGATTGCCGTACTGATGTGTACAAGGGTTCTTTCTTTCCCCGTTCCATTGAGGCCTGGAATAAACTACCAGGTAGTATTGTTAATTGTACATCTGATGCTCTGTTTCACACGTTTTTGTCGCACATGTAAATTTTTCATTGTGGCACTGCTTGTACATGTGACGCGCTATTGTGCAGATTTGTACCACTAATTCTCATGTCAGTTCTCTTTTTCCTTATTTTCCCCCATGTGATGAATCGTATTCATGTATTTGCATATACCCCCCTGCTGTAAGGCCTTGTTGGCGCTGCAGGTAAAATGAATAAATAAAATAAACTATTACGTGGGATCACACAGCTTCTCGGTCGCGCTTTTTGTGACTCTTAGGATTCGTTTACGAGGATGTTTGATGCAGAAAACCAATAAATAGATGAATATAGATGAAACTAATTGGCTCTCGTATCCAGAAGTGTATTTATTTTGTTTTTTTGTTTTTATGGGGGGTGAGAATTAACACACAAAAATTGTAAAAGAGATGTGGTCCATCGAAACAAGGAAAAAAATACAGACGCGCAACGCAAAAAAAAAAGAGCCATAGCATCAGTTATATTGAAAGAGCCATTTCTTAGGAGACCGTTGCCACAATCGTTTCGGTCACGCCTGCATTAGCATGTCTTCCATTCAGCAATAAGAAACCATATTATCTTTTATATCAGTGTCACATGGTACTTCTGACCGGGATCAGTCAATCCGGATAGGATTTTCTGGTCGCCATCGACGCTCAGATTATTATGACCTTCCTGGTGGAGAGTTTCTTCTTTCACAGGTAACCAAATTGCTAGTTTCTTTGAAAACAACGCAAAAAACACAGTTCTAAATATTCATTTTCTTTTGTTGCTTTTATTGTGGTAGAGGAGTCACTGTTGGTGACACTTAATCGTAATGACATTGTTCAATGGCTTTCTTCATTTTGGAGGCCATTGCTCAAGGCTATTTTCACGCCGAAAAGATGAACACATGGGTAAACGATCCACCATCCACAAAGTCATTGCAATACGTGACGCTGTAAGTACCTGTGTCGTATACTGGTGCACAAGCACGGAAAGAAATTCGAATACAGACGGACCTGCCACAAGCGGAACTACATCAGATGAAAACGTACAGCTCGTTATCATGCGGCAGAAAAACATACGCATCGTAGAACTCCCCATAAAAGTTTTTATTCAAATAGCATGCCCCACCTATACGACCTTTAAAAGAAGCTAATCCTTTAATAAACGGTTGCCTTAGTGTTCATACTTTTATTATCACTATTTAAGAAATTTCAGCACTACCGTGGCACGCAAGCTGCCGTAAATAACCCGCCTCCATATAATTCTGAGGCGCGCCCGCGGGAGCGTCGGTGAAACATGGCGCCGCTTGCCGCGCGTACGTCACCTGAGTGAGAGAATCAAGCAAGAAACGCGTGCGGAGAGGAGAGTGTCGTTACTTTCCTCAGATCAAGGGGTTTAGTGTTCAGTCGGTTATTTCGCCCTCTACGGCCATCGCTGGAACTTGAGTGTTTCCTGGGCCTGGTGAAAGCATGTGAAGGGCCTTGGTATCGCCATGTGATGGTGGCGTGTGGTCGGCTATGGGCTGAGTCTTTGGAATGCGCGAGAGACTTGTGCGGGCTCTACTGCTGACGTGTGGTTGCCTCCTCGTGGATGTGCTCGCGAACTTGGGTGGGTAGTGGCCAATACTGCCGCGGTAACCCACACTGACGATCGCGTTCTTCTTTCAGTGTCATCGGATGGCTTGAAAGAGGACATCTTCTTCGAAATACTTGAACCCGAGAGCCTGAGGTACACGTTTCGTCTGAGGCCCGCGCACGAGTTCGGTTCGTCATTTGTAAGTGGCCCAGTTTCGGTTCATCACCTAGGACGCAAGCCTGGAGGGAATCGAGCAGTACAGAGGAATGAAGAAAGAAAAAAGTAGTGATGCGGCCATTTGTCGTACAGTAAACATGCTCTTATAAAAGGGCAGCTGTGGATATCGTCACACTGAGCGTGCCACGTACTACGTGGGTTCAAATGATCGTGCTGTCCCACATAGCCGGGACGAGGCTGACAGGGCTAAGCTTCTCTGCTTAAAAGAGCTTGCTTTCACTCGTATCCACACTCGTTATCACGCACTCGGAGGGAACTTGCTTTGCCGCAATTCAATGAGGGGTAAAGTAAGCGTTGGCTTTCGCCTGAAAGAGGTGTGGCTAGTCGAGTTTGTGAAGCAAATAATCCATCATGGTTTGCAACACCCATTTCGCTCATGAGTTCTTTTTTTATACAACAGGTCATTTCTGCGGTGCAAACAGTAACGGAAGAGCTGCAGAATGGGTTCCACCGTTTTGTTTTGTCTCGAGATTGCCTGAAAAGTCATGTATCAAGCACGTGCTGTTTACTTATAATAGAATTGGATCGTTTCCCTTGCTAATGGGGTAGTTTCTAACATTCTTGCCCATTATCGTAAACATCAAACCATTTAGTTTTTTTCTTAGTGCTGCTTTTTGATCTAGGGAGCATAATGAAATCATATTGCGGCTATCGGACAAGTCATTTTTGTTCAAAGTGCAAAAAATGTTTTTATGCATCACTTAGTGCTTTGAATTGCACTAACAGCAGAACTCAGTGCAAGAAAAAAAATCTTGGCAAAGCACATCTCCTGGTACTTAGGAGCCTTGTGCATAGTAATTTCATGCTTTTTGATTGACAGCTTGCTAAGGGTGCCGTGTACATGCAGACCGCATGCAATTTTTTCTTTAAGCTTGCTCTACCAAGCGCTGCCTGCCTGTTTATCTTTCCAAATAGTTCTCTGGAGACATTTTAAAAGAAGGATTGCGCGCAAAGCTCGGATCACCCGAGGAAATGTGCCGCAGTTTTATTCACATTTGAGGTGAGTGAACATACGAGAGGGCAAAAGCTAGAAAGGAAGCGCCCTACCTGCATGCACCAAACTTCAATAGGTGGTTAAAAATACCCGTGTTTGAGCACATTCATGAATAGCTGTCGAGGGACTACCACTGTTATTGGTATGGAAAGTTTCAATGGTTTGACATTGCTCCTGTTTAAGATATTTGTTTTTTTCAGTTCCTCGTGGCATTTTTTCATTCTTCCCCTAAGCTCTGAAATGATGTATGAGAGTGCGTGTATCATTTTGTAATGTGGGTTCATGGTGAGCTAGACGAACAATTATACGTCAGCTAGTTAGGGTGATGTACGGCTACTTCCCACATGTCGGCTAACTTTACGAACACCCATCATGGGGCATTCGACAGATGAAAGCGATAGTAATGCACAAGCTGTTGATGTTTATAAAACTGAATGTGCATATTTGCATGCACTGTGCTGAACACTGGTTTTGATCACCCATCTCCTTTTTTTTACAACTGTGCATACCTCTTTCTGGATTTTGCCTGCTCTGTGTCCTATATATTCACTCTTCTACGATGTGATTAGAACCATGGAGTTTCCTATAAACTTACAATTGTGCTTGCCTGAGCTCACTCGTTGCACATAGTGAGAGGTTCCAGCGAAGTAGTTATCGAGGACAAAGACAGAAAGGGAGACGACACACCGATTGTTTGTTTAAACTTGCCGTGCATTTTTATAACATTTTATAGCGAATGCAATGCTCACTCACTGATTCCCAGATTGGTTGTTTGTGTGCACGAATGATAGTTCACTTTCGTCAATGATCATGGCTTCTTAAATTTCATGTGTTAGCTTGTCCTTGCTTCTTCCTAAAATCTGAATGTCGTGCAGCTTGACTGTGCACTTACACTGGTGAGTGTAAAAGGCGAGATTTCCAGCAGCGGTTCTTTTTAATGACGTTCCATGCTCTATATCATTGATCCATCTGCCCATTTGTTCAATGCATCATAAAAAGCTAAAAACATGTTGCAAAACACTGGGGCGACACACAAGCCAAAGCAGATCCCTTTTCATTGAACATGTTTTTAGCTTCTTTTGACACAGAGTTAGCTCAAGAACTTGGCGATGCAAAGATGCTGAAGGTCTTTCGGTATGTCAATGATATTTAGTGATTGCAAACACTAACCCATTGGTGACTCTTTTGATGAAATTTTGGCACTTTTCAGACATCATCTGAACAGCCTTTAGTTCATGCATGAGCTTCTTATCGACAATAAATTGCAGTTTTTAAACTTGAGCATCACTTTCTCAAAGCGACAAGTGTGCTCGGCTTTTTGCCACACTCAAAGAGCTTTTTACCTTTTGATGCGGCCCATTCTAAACTTCTTAAAAGGGCCATTGCGACTTTGTATTTCAAGGGAGTGCTGGTGAATTGTTGTACTCACTGAAAGTAGGATGGTTGCAGGAATCGGGTTAGGCGGCTGCATTCAGCTGACTGTCCTCGGTCGTATCGGTTTCTGAAATCCTCCTTCAAAAGCTGAAAGGCACTAGGAAAAGCATGCAGCCCATGGTCAAATATACCTATGGTTTTACTTTATATTCGTAAGATAGCGCACAAATTTAAGAATGTGGCTAACAGGTACAATTTGCCTGCAGTTTTTTCTGCGCCATATGAGTTGGCTGGCCTATGCCCACGTATTTTTAAACCATGGAGGGCCTCAACTTGTGGGGAGAAACACACTTCGACAAATGTGGATTGTTCGATGGGTGTGGTGTATAAAATCCCACTTAGTTGTTTAGTTGTCGTCTGGTTTACATTTGCCACACTGGTCGGTGTTTAAATATCCGAGTTAAGGAACACGAGCTGTCACTTCGAAATAATTCAGCAGCACTTTTGCTTGCCCGTTGCCGTTCCTGCTCTTGTGAGGCAAGGTTTTCAAGCGTTTTTGTTCTTGCCAAAAGCTCAGATGCTCTGGCCCGGGAAATAATGGAAATGTTTTGGATAAAGAAGAAAGCTGTCTTCTGTGTAAGTGACACATCAGTGGTTTTGCTCACATCTGAGTTTCAATTTTGCTCTTTGTTACTCGAATAGATATGTCTGTTTAGGTATGTATTGTGATTGCGTGAGACAGTGCTGTTTGCGCATGTGTGGTGCAGCTTTTTTCCGGGTTCATTCCATAGTCCAACTTTAATGACGACATCTGAGTCATCTCCTGCACTGTTATGGTGTATGGGAAGGTCAAATATAGAAGAACCGTGTCCCACGTCTTGTGTTCGATGTCGACAAACATGGCCAGCATGTCGGCAATGGTCTTGTTTAGCCATTTAGTCAGATGATTGGTCGGCGGGTGGTATGCTATCGCTTGGCGATGGCTTGTCTGGCTGTATGCCAAAATCACTGAGTCAAGTCAGCGGTAAATGCTGTACCTCTGTTGGTGATGAGGACCTCCACTGCCCCGTAATGGAGAGTGATGTTTTCAACAAAGAATTTGGCTACCTCGGATGCACTGCCTTTGGGCAGGGCCGTTGTCTCGGCATATCGTGTGAGGTAGGCAGTGGCGACGATGATCCATTTGTTTCCAGAACTCTAGGTTGAAAACAGCCCCGGTAGGTCCATGCCGATTTGCTGGATGGGTCGGCGAGGGAGCTTGAAGGGCTCTAGAAGTCCAGCTGGCCTAGTCGACGGTGTCTTCTGTCGCTGACAATCTCGGCAGGTCCTGACCTAACAAGTGATGGTGGCAAGTCGTGGCCGGTAGTACTTTTTTTGTATTCCTATGAGCGTACGGGAAACATGGAGGGGTCCAGCCGTGGGGTAGTCGTTTAAGGCATGGAAGTCCTCAGGTCTCACTGCTGGGAGAACCAAGGAAAGGCGTTTGTCTCAAAGAGGCACAAAGTTCTTCTATAGAAGAACTTTGTCTCGCAGGAAGAACGACGCCAGTCCTCACTTGAATACCTTCGAAACAGTGGCGCCGTTAACCTCGAGGTATTCTACAAGGCTTTTGAGTTCCGGGTCAGCTCGTTGTCGCTCGGCGAAGTCATCGGCACTTATGGTTCTTAAGAAGCAATCGTCATCCGGGTCGTCCTGCAGCAGTGGTTTGTTGAGGGCACGTCACAGTCTTTCGGTGTCGGAGTGTATTTTCCAGACTTGTAAACGAAGGTAACGTCAAATTCTTGAAGTCTAGGGCTCTACTTTGCAACGCGACCTCAAGGGTTTTTAAGTTGGCTAGCCAATACGAGACGTGGTGGTTGCTCACAACATTGAAGTGCCTGCCATAAAGGTAGGGGCGATACTTTGACATAGCCCAGATGATGGCAAGGCATTTTTTTTCTGTTGTAAAATAGTTGTCCTCTGCCTTCGATAGCAACCGGCTAACATAACTGACTACTCTTTCCAGTCTGTCAGTCCTCTGCACAAAAACGACTGCGAGCCCTTCGCTGCTTGCGTCAGTGTAGATCGTTGAAGTGCGCAAGTATAGAAAGAATCTCTTGACGTTTTAGTTCTTGAAATGCTTCCTCTCATGGCGTTTCCCACTTGAACTCGACGTTGTTCTTTGTGAGGTTAAAAAGTGGCTCGGCGATGCGAGCAAATTTTTTGACGAACCGCCTGTAAGAGGCGCACACACCAAGAAATTGATGCATGGCCTTCTTGTCGGTGGGCAGCGGGAAGGCGGTGATGTAACCTGTTCTTCGCTGGTCGAGATGAACTCTGGACTTGCTGATGACTTGGCCCAGGAGCAAAAGGTCCTCGAATGCGAAGTGGCATTTTTCTAGCTTCAGAGTGAGCTCAGAGGTCTTGATTGCTTGCAGTACAGCTTCAAGGTGCCAGAGGTGTTCGTCGAAGTTTGAGGAAAACACAATGACATCGTCCAGGTAAACAAGGCAAGTCTGCCACTTCAAGCCGGCTCGTACTGTATAACGCATTGAAAAGTAGCCGGGGACAAGCAAAGACCGCAAGGCATGACCTTGAACTCTAACAGGTCGTTT